GTCTGGCGGCAAATGGGACAGCGCTGACTGACGTAGGTATTGCAGTTATCCATGAGCACGTTGTCACAGTTCTCAGTTTGTCTGCCAAAACATGAGCCTTTCACGCCCACGGGAAAGGAGAGATACTCTGTTTATCTGTAAGCAGTACAAGCTACCAGGAGATCACACCAAAATTTACAGACTGCGTGGCTAGGCGGTAGCCTTCATTCAGAAGGTCTGATGTTGATGAACATTCAGATGTCAAAATAAAACTTTAAACCTTCCTCTCCTCTCCTTCTCCCTCTCCTTCTTCCTCTCCTTCTCCCTCTCCTTCTCCCTCTCCTCTCCTTCCCATGTGTGGTCCCAGTAGTGACAGACCTGCACAGTTTGTGAGTACCCATTTTCTACACATCAAGGAACTCCTAAGCTAGGACTGTCTTTGTATCTTAGTGAGATGCACTGATGGAGGATGAAGAATAGAGAAACAAATGAAAAAAATCCAGATGATGCTGACAGAAGTTCTTCTTTTTTCTTTTCCCTGCCCACTATGCTTTATTCTGTGCTGTAAGTTGAGATTCAATTTCAGGCCCTGTCCTTATTCTTTTACAGCATAGGAAATTTTTGCTAAGTAATTCTTCACTGCCACTGATGAGAGCGACAGCAATGGTGAAACAGTCTCAATACAAACGGATGGCAGCAGTCTTTTGCATTTTAAATGCTTTGAATAAGAGAAATGCTTTCAGCAGCGACAAATGACAGCTGTTCTTTAAACCCAAGAGCTGGCCTGGAACTGATCTATTTACATTAAAGATGACCCGTACTGCAGAGGCTAAAGCACAAAATTCCCCCTTGGGCAATGTGAAGGCTTGTTGCTCATCAGCTTCCAAATCTTCTTCTGCCTCTCAGTATGTGATTTGGGGCCCTTCCAGGAAAGAACCTGTCTGTCCAGGTTCAGCCGCTTTGATCCTGCCATGGGGTGCTGCAGGATGGGGAGCGCCAGCCAGGGCCACGTTCAGCTCCTCTCTGTGGCATGTGAAGGAGTGCCCCACTCCAAAACGTGCATCCAAACAGCTTAGGCTGCAGCCACAGGACACACAGCCTGAATCTCCAATCACTGCATGTGCCGGTGGCTCTATAAACAGCACCTTTTACCCCAAATGAAAACGAGCAAGTCAAAACCTTAGTCCAGCTACAGCCCGTGGGCACGGGAATTGCTCTCAGGAAATGCCACCCCAAGGCACCGCTGGGAGACGTGCGCACAGCGCTGCTGAAACCACGTGAGCTGCCGGAGAGCTGGTGTCTGGGCTCCTGGAAGCAGCAGGAGAACAGCTCCACAGCTCTCCTCCTCCCTTTACTTTATGGCTGTAGCTCCCAGACAACTCGATGCACAGTGTGCGGCCGATGGCTGCAGGTAGAGACGGAGAGAAACATGTCTATTTGTCCATGAAGTGCGTTGCGTGGCCAGGGTGTATCTGTAATTTACACAGGTACACCACACATACCCGTAATTTATGCAAATAAGTTATGTATTCTGAGTGGGTGACAGCAATTATTTCCATATCGACCGTGTTAAAATGCAGGATTAGGACATCTTTGCCAGTTCATTAGAAAACACAGCTGGGTTATGAGAGGACAGAAAAATTAATGATTGCAGAAATAAGCAGCACCTCCTCCCTGTGAGTGTTATTACAACACTGGAAAGCTGCCCTGACCCCTCTGGTTTCACTGTGGGGCTCTCTGCTCACAGGGTACGAGGTACGGGAACTTCTCCGAAAGTCCACGTCTCCGAAATCCCGTCCAAGTGGACCACCACTAGTCTTCTAAGCGTGCTCCTACTAAATATCATTTGCTCCAGTTTGAAAGCTCTTCTTTAAAATTACGTTAACTGTGTAAAATGTGATATTTGGTACGTTAATCAAGCATTATGAGATAAATACATTTAAGAGCACAATTAATAAGAGCGTAATAAAAACAGAAACCTTCCTTCGTTTTCCTCCTCCTTCTGCCAGACTTGAATATATGACATTCAACTCTGATCAAAGCGATAAGGATTTGAAAGATTAACGTCAACTAAGTAGAAAAGCCAAAATGCCATTATGTTTAATTGGCATAAAGTTTCCAAGTGCAATAAATATTTTAAAGGCAGAAAATTACAAACAAAAAAGCCCCACAGCATAGCATGGACAGTGTGCATCAGGTTAAATAAATTTATATGTGCCATTATTTAACAGTGTCCAGTAATACCTTCTCTTCACTCACCCAAATACTGGAATTTATAAAGGAGCAGGTGCTGGATTAGTACTATATATCACTATTTAATTCTACAGGATAGTTTTCACTGAATAAAATATTCGCCATATTTACTCTTTGATTGTATTGCTAAGAGGTATTAAATTCATTTTGCTTCCATATTAATGCTTTTTTATGGATAAAACCAAAGTCCATTAATTGAGTTTTTGCCAATTGGTTCAATATTCAAGGATTTTAGCACATATTTCTGCACATTCATCATCAAATCATTCACTAATAATATCCCAAAGATAGATGTATAACTCCATAACTTCTTGTATATAAATATCAATAATGCAGACTTTTTAAAATTGCTAAATGGTAGCATGTAATTTGTAATGGTAGAAAGATATACTCTCCTGAAATACAGCTTTATAATTTTGTCTCCTGGAGTCATGGTTTATATTGAAATTTATGTTTAGTGACTTCAGGCATGCTGCTAGTTGATCAAGAGGCAAGTGATAAGTTAGGTCATTTCCTGCTTTCTGACTATCTTGGTGCTGGCAGATGTTTCAGAATGGTCTCTGAGATAAAACAGATTTTAAGCATAAAATATAAATCCTAATTTTTAGCATGTACTTACATTATCATCATTTTGGACCTTTAAAAATGATTACTTTAAAAATTCTTACTCATTATGAAATTTGGGGGACAATTTTTGAAAGCTTTTGTTTTTCAGCTTTGTTCTTCTACAACCAACGAAGTATATAAGATATAATGCAGTATGATTTTCTCATCCCTTGGGCCTGTTTTATAGAAATAAACAATAATAAGCCTGTTCTCTTTAATGTTTCTGGTAACTGTAGCAACAGGGGTTAAAATCTTGGCACTGCATTTCAGGGGAGTTTCCCCCTAATGTCCATGAAAGAAATATGTTACAGAAGATGTTACAGAATGAGATCTCCAGAAGGCGCTACAGTGGAGATGCATCATTTGCCAATGAAGATTCTTATTCCAGCATACAGGAATACCCTTTTCTGGAGGAAAAAGAATCATTTTTTTTCTTTCCAGTGCATTTGCACCTGGGCTTTTCTTTGTGAAGTTATATCCATGCAGGGTGGGATTTCTTCTCCACATTCCTAACTGATATAGTCATATTGGTAAAGACTTTATTTTTAAAGCAAGAGAAGGGTAGGGAGCCTCCATTTCCTCAGTAGGCTGATAGCACTGAAGAATACCACAGCAAACACCCTGCAGCAGCCAGGCAGCTCTGGGACTGCAGGAAGCGGGTCCCCCTCTGACCACCATATGTGGACCTAAAGCTTTCCTGAAAGACAAAGCTGTCCTATTTCCTTAAAAAAATGAATTAAAGAAAGAGAGAGATGTCAGCAGCAGGGTTTGGGCTGGTCTGCTCTGAACTGCTTCTGCTTGAGCTACAAGCAGTTCCCCACTTCATTTTTGTAACCACCTCAGGCCCAAGATTTTGCAGATGTCAGATAAATTTCTCAAGGCCAGTATTAGGGCACGACAGTCTCAAGAATCTCATGGGCATATATTTACAGATCAAAACTAAGAAAGAAATGATAATAATTACAGGCTTTCTAGACAAACTAATCTTTTCACAATATTCCCTTAAATTTGCTTGTGTACTTCTCTCACACACCCTTATAATTTTTTTTATTTGAAGTACTGTAAAGGGAGAAATTGAATGTTCCAACTTCCCTATTCTGCTAATAGAGATTAATCAGCACATGTTGGCTTTGAAACACTCCACTTTTGAGCTTTAGATCAGTGGAAAGCTCTGTAGCAACGCACAAACCTTAATAGCAGCATTAAAATTCTAATAGCAGCACAATATATATCATAAGTAATTACAGTCCTATCGACTAGGTATATAAAAGTTATGACAAAGTAATACAGCTTGTTACCCAGCAGTTTTAGCTGAGAAGCTATACTACATAAATCAAAGCACTTTTTCTAGAGACAAATGGCACTGTAAAGCCACACTCCGTGTGCAGAAATGAGGGTATCTTGTCACTGACCGGCACACAAGAATTCCACTAATTTTCAGCTCCCAAAATGCACAGACTGGCACAGTTAGGCAGCGATGGAGCATACTCCTCATTAACACTCACCAAAATCTCACACTTCTCCCGATGAAAGGTTGTCTTTTTCCTAAATGAAACATTTTCTCATGTTTTTCCCCCTTAAACAACATAAGCAACATATCACAAACCTTTTACCGCTCAAAAACACAGCAGAAAAAAACTCTTAACAGAAAGCTTTTTTTTTTTTTCAGAGAGCAGAAAAAAAAGCTGTTTTTCACTTCACCAGCTTTCATGAGAAGACCCACCTACCATTCCGCGGCAGCCGTGCTCTGCGCTCCAGGACCT